TTTTTTTTTTTTTATTGTTGGGGATTCATTGAGGGTACAAGAAACTAGATTACACTGATTGCATTTGTATAATGGATTTTTTTTAAAAGCTGGGCATAGTGGCTCACACCTGTAATCCTAGCACTCTGGGAGGCTAAGGCAGGTAGATTGTTTGAGCTCATGAGTTCAGACCACCCTGAGCAAAAGCAAGACCCTGTCTCTACTAAAAATAGAAAAACTAAGGCAAGAGGATCACTTGAGCCCAAGAATTGGAAGTTGCTGTGAGCTATGATGCCACAGCACTCTACCCAGGGCTTAAGACGCTGTCTCAAAAAAAGGGCTTAAGACTGTCTCAAAAAAAGCACGTTATTTCTATCATCACTACTCTCACTTATCTAATTTTCTTCCAAAATCTCCTATTCCAGCTTGGCAGTATTCTTTAACCTTTTCAAATAGAGTGGCCTGTTCAGGATCCAGGAAATGCCATCACAAGCACAGAGACGTCATTTCCTTTCATTAAACTGCACTGAAAGTTCATTGCTTCAACTTACCCCTTGAGCACCAAACTGGTGTTCCACGGTTCCCAGCAAAGATTCCAGTGGGTTCCTGTCCGCTATAGAGGAGGGAAAAGTTTAATGTCTAATGTTATATATTACTTGCAGCTATTAAAAAAAGAAAACTTTATCATATTTTAAAGTTTCAATCCAAGCTATGTGCATTAAGGAATCTGCTTATAGGCTGATCAATAAAATCATCCACACTGATTTTGGTGGTGGTGATTTATCCTTTATACTACACTTTTTAGAAAGATCTCTAAAACTAGACATAGTCACTAAAATCAGAGCAGAACAGAGGGAAGAATCTGGACTCAGAATTAGCCAGATCTGGATTCCAGTCTCACCTGGCCATTCACTACCCAGGTGTTCTGGGCCTCAGTTCCCTCCTCTGTCAGACTAGAGTAATAGTGGTGGTGGTGGTGAACAATTAATGCATGCTTACCGCCTACTACAGGCACCGTAATGAAGGTTTACACATTGTAACTCATCTAACTCTCAATAACTCTACAGAATGTCCAGTATCACTTTTCACTGCTGAGGAAAATGAGGCACAGAGGACAGGTAACTTCACAAGGCCATGGAGCTGGCCAGGCTACAACACAGCAACCACGCAGCAGCAACATTCTGGCTTAGAGCCCAAGTTTTGTCCAAATCTTTCATGATTGTTTATACTAAATGACCCATTCCAATGATAAATATTCTCCAATATCCTTATCTATAAAATGGCCAAATCCAACAACTGTTCTTTTTGACACATGAAACGTAAACAAACACACATGAATGGCTTTAATTATAGCTGAAGCCAACTATGGGAAACACCTCCAAAAATGTGTCAGACTAAAAAAAAAAAATGTGTCAGATCAAGGAAATTTTTATAAAAAGGAAGTTAAGATTAGGACTTCTCCATCACATTAACCCTAAGCTTTAGAGAGCCAACAGCTCTCTCTAGACTCAAAAATGAAAGAAAAGAGGAGGAAAAAGGGAAGCAGGAGGGTGATTACCTTTATATCTCTTTTTTTCCTCCTCGGTCAGATGTTCTGTGCGTATTTTGGTTATCACATTCACATTGTTTACAGTGTATACCTTGAGAGATGTGTGCAAAAGAAAACAGTGACACAGGGAATCAAAACCCAGAAAATAAGCATAGCAAGAGCAAGAATTCTAAAGCCGAAAAAAAAAAATCCAGCAAAATAAAAATGAGAAATGGTTAACAATCATTAGGAATCTTTAGAGAAAATATTCAAACTATCAACTTAGAAATGCTTCAGCGGCAGTTACTTTCCGTATTTGACAGTTTTAATACTGAGGAGTTAACAGTGACAGGCTGCATCTTCCCACTTGCTCTTCTTGTGGCTCAACAAATGCAAGCAAATGTCCTGCAATGTACCTTTCCCACCTGGACTTGTAGTGTACTATACCCAAACCTCGATCGTGTACTTTTACTGAGCTCTGGTAATCTTACAGCAATACTAACTTAGATAGCTATCTGCTAGGCAGAAGGAAAAGAAATAAATACAGGATTCTCTAGACTTATGAGATTTAGAGAAAATCAGCAAGTCACTATTTATTATAAAAGGTATTGAGTGCATTGACAAAACATTATGTAACAGCCAGGTAAATGCTCTGCTATCAAGGTCAACTGAGGAGTATGGTGGTCTAGACAATCAAACATAAGAGTTAACAGAGAATACCATATGTGGATCCCCCACCTTCAGAGCCGGGGAAAACACACTCAGCACCAGAATGACTGTTTCTAAACATATCTTGCTGAGCATGGCATAAATTGTCTCTGCTCACTCAGAGGCCACCAGAGGACCCTGCAGCACCTGGCTCCATTGCTGCTAGCCATCAATGCCTGCAGTGCTGTAGGACTAAGGCAAGGACACATCACAGAGCCTTCCAGCTGATAAAATGCCAGATGACTGAATAGACACTTGTCTCCACTATTACCAACTATTTTAAATTTGTTGATGTCATGCAAATTGTACTGCCTACAATTTGCCTGATT